AATAAAGTTCTATAAATAGAAACTGTTTTTCTTTTTATTCATCAACAATGGGAAATAGGAAATTGCGGAAATATGCATGTAAGTTCTTAAAGTGAATGTTCTAGGTTAATGTAACATTTAAACTCATTAATGTTTTACTTTCAAACATAATGAGAAGCGATTAAGACCAGAAAAATGACAAGATTCTGGAACATTCATATTTCAAGTTTACATTCCTATTGTGTTGATAATAGCATGAAATACGACTTCTAATGAGGTTGAGAACTCAATTGTTTCAGGTTATTACAAAAAAAGTTTATTTAACGCATCGGTCACAAGCAAAATCATGATGGTACATTTTTAGAACGAATTTGGTCAAATTTGAATTTCGTTTGTGCCTATTCCATTATCATTATTGGCTCACATGCCAAGCTGTTTACTTTCGCTAATTATACAAAAAACAACTATGCTGATAATGGGAAAGTTAAATATTTAATGCTTAATTAACTTTAAAAGTTCACATATAGAACATAATTGCTTTTTTACTTCTTAAAATCCAATCTGAGAAGATATCGAAAAGAACTTGATAACTTTAAGGTCTAGGTTATCAAATTGCAGGCTCGTTTACTTATCTCCTAATTGCAACATAAACTGAAAAGTTTCTTTTTACACCTTTCGACTTGTTTCCAGACGATAGAAAGTTAAGGTAAGAAATTTTGTAAATTGTCTTAGTTAAAGCATTCGTGAAATGGGAGATCGATCCTTCGATAGTAATGGAAACAGAAACAACTAGGTTGAAATGATCTTTACTTCGGTTCAATTCTTCTTTCCGTATAAAATCCGAACTTAAATTGTAATGTGTATATGCTTTTGTAACAAGTTATGTAAGGAAAACATAATAATAATCTTCACGGCGATCCGAAATGAAATAAATGTTTATGTTAACAATTGTATAAATAACATGTAGTAGGTCTTCATAAAACATAGATGCAATTTGGACATGGGTTACTTAACCTTTCAAGAACTTTGGAATGCTAGTCGTTTCTAACTACGTAATTGATCAATGAAAAGAGACAAAGACAAGTCAAAAAAAATAAAAGCCATATAGAACCACTGACCATCCATGAGCTGGCAGGCTGGATTCCTCACATAAGAAGAGTCCATAGTCTATATAAGGATTTGAACTATCAGCTGTGAGGGCAGGCCGGTTTGGTACATGTACTAATGTGGAACCTTTTACCATGTAACTATGATATTGTGTAATATTTGACTTTGGTGTACATTAATATGTATATAATTTTGTATTTATAAAATGAAATGCATAAAATCAGCAAGCATCACGCTATACTTTATCATATTAGAATGATTATGCTTTTAGTAAATTCGTCCTACATTGTGAACAGTGAGAGCACCGAAAAACAACAAGCTTTACTCATTGATTTATTTGTGTTGTGTTGGGTGTTTTAACGGTAAACATTCAATTATATAATCAGATTATCGTCATACCTAATTAAGAACAATGTTCATGCTTTGTTGTTGTTGTCCCAACTGAATAAACATATATCGTTCTTCACAATTTGCATTATAAGCACTCACCCTATATGAAAGTCAAACATCAGCAAGGTATGTTCAAGGGAAGAATATAATCTATCAAACAGATTGTTCTTTCTATTGCTGTCGTCTCAAATGTAACTCAAATTCTTTGAAAAAGATAACTGGTAAAATATATAAGTCTAAATAATATTTTACCATGCGTCCAGGCATGTATCGGTTTGTGTGGTTTATATCACAAAATGTAACAAGAAGAATTTTCTAAGTGAAACGTTTAACCCATTGAATTCTTTTGAAAAATTCTCATTTCACATTTATTAGAATAATCACCAGTACACCGTATTTTCTTGAATGTTTAAGTTCATAGTCCATCAATGTCATACCTAGTCTTAGTTTGAATAAATAAAATTATATTTATTGCATAAACTTATCAATAATTAAAGAAGAAATTAAATATTTTTATGTGAAGATAGGTTTTACCACGCTAACCTAGAAGTTGATGACCATAAAGGAAAATCTGTAACATAACAAAATATGAAGTTAATGCTAAAATCATTGGAAAGAGGTAAATAACTTTTTACCATTAATTAAAATTCTAAAGAAAAATAGATCTGATTGTACCTTATCAAAACAACCCCCGTAGTTGAACATATAACATCAACAACTGCAACATCAAAACAAACAGACAACAAAAACACGGTGCTCTTTTGGATTTGCATGAATTATTTGTTTCAAATTTTCAAACATCTAGTGTACCATTTCTTTGAGTTACACCGTTCTAGTTACTGAGAATAACAATAACATCCTAGTTATAGAAACCAAAGATTCATATAGTTGAAGACATGTGTGTATGAAAATACTAACATAATATAGATTTATCAATAAAATGTATTTAGATTTATCAATAAAATGTATTTGTTTTTACGCATTTCAAGTAAAACTGGAGAAGTAACTGGGACGCGGTTACTGAGAACAGTGCATGTTGTACTTGATTTATCTGTCCTGTTTGTTAACATTTAATCTAGTAATTAGTTTATCTTCCCTTTACATCAAGAAACTATGTTTATGCTCTATGTTTATGTACATCTGTAGATGTGTTCTAATTATTCTTCATACACTAGCCGAACTTTACACATTGTTTTTGTTTTGCAATAGCTTTCCGTTTCGTTTTTAGTCGTTTGTTTTCTGTTGTTTTTTGAAAAACAAGGTTTTTGCAATTTTCTGTTTTGTTCTATAAGGATTTTATCAGCATATCACCATATACATTATGCTCTTTACCACTAGGGATCAAGGTTCTATGAGAATGTAAGTTTCCCATGAACGCATATAATTGGAATTATTTTGTACAACTGCAAACCTTGAAATATGGTAATAAATGAATTACAATGTATATTATACATGATAATAACATCTTAAAAGACAGACATCCGTGTAACTATGGAGATAACTTAATATCTGATCCGTGCACAGCTAGCTATTTACACATAATGAAAGATTGACACGCGTAATTGTTGTTGGTATTAACTGCAACATTTGGTTCTCAAATGCAATTACTCGAGATCTGCACGACAGAAAAAGTAATTGTTCTAAAGAGGTAATGCACGTGCAAGCAGATTGGGGCACCACACACACTACCACTGCAGTTATACTCTTTCTAGCCAAGGAACATGACGATTTTGCATCTGAAAAACAACCCCGCATCGTGCATGATTCGACCGCCCGAACATCCGGTTACAAACGAATGGAAGCAATGCTTTAGGCCATTGTCACTTTTTGCTAGGGGGAAGAATAACAATCATGTGAAAACGATGATACATCAAACTGGAACCATTAATATAAATTTTTGTAGTGGGTCATGGAAGGATCATTCCGGTGATGTTAATCATATTCTAGAGGAGATATTGAAAAGAAAATGGTGGGTAATAATAGACGATGGGTATCATGCAACCACTGAAGATCACTTCTGATTAAAAAGAAGATGCATTTATTTTATGCTTTTCAGTGGATTACTGATTTATCCGTGAAAATTATATTTGATAATTTCACAGTAAAAATTATCAAAATATAATTTCACACTTTTTAATGACGAAACTACTTTTTTAAGATTTTTCCCGTTTGGTACCTCAATTTTATTTTTGCTGACAATTCTGACAATGTCAGGCTGTTTAAAGAAAAAGCAAAGCTGAAATTGATAAATAACTTAAATGTCAAAAGTAATAAAAAGAAGAACACTTACTTCTATTCATTCAAATTCCAATCACCAAATTTCGTCTCTAAATTATTTTGTTTAATTTTTACAGTCTGAAAAATACATTCCTTCCACATGCAAAACTGCTCTTGATGACATTTGGGCATATTAAAGTATCCTACGAGCAATAACTGACGTATGCTTTATGAAAAATTGGAAAGCAATGGCAGCCATCTGCTCGTAGAATAAGTAAACTACCCAGCGTTCCTGAGCCAGCTTCCAAGTTTTCCATTTTCCTATCTGCATTTTTGAATGTTTTCACATCTGTCAACACTTATTTTTAGTCTGTTACCATCCTCAAATAATTTTTCTTTCTTTTAAAAAGGTGTATGACTAACAAATCCAAATGATATTCCTCTGAATCAAACACAATTATTTTCCTCCCGTGACATAAACTTTAAAAAATGGCTGCCGCTTACATTTAACAAAGCCAGGTCTAATATAAATTCGCAGTAAGTAACAGAAATTTGGATGGATGGTTTGACTTTTTCTCCTACAAGAATTGTTTGTTTTTATTATTAAAACAAGCGAACATTCATATTTTTTTTAATAAAATGAATAACATCACCGTCATTTAACGTTGAATGCCGAACTTATTTTCAGCTCAAGACTTCTTGTATTTAATGAGAAATTCCGACTAAATGGGGCTCTCAATGGGGAAAACAGATTTTAATATTAACGTTAATATTATGGAAATTTCGTTTTAACTTGTTTTTAAGCATAAAATAAACAGAAAATTTGTTTGTTTGTTGTGTAAGATGTAATTTTATTTCATCTCGTGAACTTTAAAAACAGTATTCTCACTCGTGGCTACGCCACTCGTGAGAATACTGTTTTTAAAGCCCACTCGATGAAATAAAATTTCATCTTACACACAAACAAACAGATATCCTCTATTTAATGATGAAGTTAAAATATTGAACACATATACAAAATGTACTGTGTTTAATAAATCAATGAAAATTCGGAACAGTTTCAGTAATGAAATTGCCACTGTTAACAACAGTCAGATGTTTGGTCAGAGCTCTTAATTTTAATAAAACAGCAAATTTAGCATGATTATGGAAACATGTGAGCACCGTTACGTAATTTTCAAGATTTCTCCATGAACAAACTAGTTCTGGAATCATGACCGTGACACAAGTATTGGTCAGTTAAATGAATAATTTGTTAATAAATGGAATATTAGATTTCTATAAAAAAAAGTATAACAAACAAGATACAAAATTTAACTTTTTTTCTGCTTTAATAAAACTTAACATTCCATATAACCTGAATAATCAGTAGTTTGATTGAAAAGAGGTGATATGTAAAGGTAGGCACTACTTTGAACAAATAAAACACTTGTTACACCATGGCAATAAGAAAGGATGGCAACTTAATAGTACTAATTATTAATGTTAATAAAACACAGATTACAATACAAGGTTATAAAGAAATTCTCTAGACTCGAACTATGATTTCAGCTATTTGATTGGTCAGAAACTAGCATAGAATGTTTATCACGTCAATATTGAAATGTCTTCAATATTGAAATGAGGTGCTTTGAGACGATGGCTTTAACATTAAGTATATATAACAGGCACTTATTGTACCTGTCTGTATAGTTTTGTGCAAAATTTTCATTTACGATATAAGTAAGAGTATATTTTATGACAATGTATTTTGCTTTTCATTCATATGTGAAGTAACTTTATAACTTTATATTGTATAAGTTTATGATTATATGGATCAACCCTTGTATTAGTTCTAACTACCACACATATACTTATTGGCTTGTTGCTAAAATATATTTGCTTACAATGAAGGGCAGAAAATGTCATTATGGTATCCAAAATTACACAGTTTACACTGACCTAAGAAAGTCCAAAGATTTGAGACAGAACAAAGAAAACTTTTATAACCTCTTGAACAGACCTTTATATGTTTGATATAAAAAGAAACATTATTTAGGAGCTGGTTTAAATCAGACTACCACAGGTTATAATATTCAGCACTAATACCTTGATATATGTGATTTATTTTGAAAGATAAAATATTACAATGTTTTACTCCTGCAAAATAAAGTAACAAAATAGTAATCTGAAACTTAAATGGACTTTCATGCTATAAAATTCATCAAGCAAATAGAAAGTGAACAAAAAAATGTGAACAAAAATCAAAAAAATGAATTTCATATAATTTTACTGTTAGTTACATCTGTTCTGTCTCCTACACAACAAACAATTTACAAAACTGTTTATTTAAATCTAACCATTAAAATCTCTTTTGTTTTACATTTTGCATTGGATAGTCCTATTTAAAGTATTAATAGAGAAGGCTGTGAATTATATATAACAAGCTATTACTGTATTACATACACAATTAACACTACTAGATAATTCCCAACATTTTATGGCACTATACCTGTATGTATACTTCAAATTTTCATTCTTATCATTACATACAGCGCTGGAATATTTTCATTTGCCAACCATTTCACAAGTTTTATCAAAATATCTTTATAAATTTGCAATCTTTACCTGTAAGCTTTAAATACCTATCACTGATTTTGTTTTCTTCTAAATCTACTACATGAAATGACCTGTGTGACAAACATTGTTTACCAATTAATGTCAAACCCCTTTATTGTGATAGGGACCTATACATGAACTTTATGTCATGCCACATAACTGCTTCACCAGTAATTGCAGCAGTGTAGATTGGTGAACTGGAAAGAGAATTTCAACAGTCCGGACTTGAGCTCATGACCTCAGGAGAGCAATGGTTTCAATGTACCTATATCACTCTTGCTCCACATACATATTCAGCAAAAGGCAACAATAACACTTGTATATCATCCAATACTATTGCAATAAAGCAAATGCTATTGCTTTTAACTAAGATTGAGTTATCAAAATAAAATTGCAATATATCAGATAAAATGCCACACACCATGCAAACAAAGTTCCATGTCAATCTACATATTCAAATCAAAAGGTAAACAAGATATGTTTGTAAAACATGTGTGCCCCCTATCAGCACCAATTAGTCATGTGATAAGGTTATTATGACTTCTGACCCAGTGATCAAACAATTAATAAGGGTTATCAAGTATCTACTGGTCATGACCTTAACCTTTGACTCCTTGATGCAAAACTCAATAGGGGTCATCTGCTGGTCACGACCAATCATCATACCAAGTTTGAAGTTCCTAGGCCTAAGCGTTTTTAGTTAATTGATCGGAAACCGTTTTAACATACAAGGTCAATGTGACCTTGACCTTTGACCCCTTGACCCCAAAATCAATAGGTCATCTGCTGGTCATGACCAATCATCATACCATGTTTGAAGTTCCTAGGCCAAAGGGTTCTTAAGTTATTGATTTGAAAGCATTTTTACCTACAAGGTCAATGTGACCTTGCCCTTTGACCCCTTAACCCCAATATCAATATGGGTCATCTACTGGTCATGACCAATAATCATACCAAGTTTGAAGTTCGTAGGCCTTCTTTAGTTATTGATCGGAAACTGTTTTTACCTAAAAGGTCAATGTGACCTTGACCCCTTGACCCCAAAATCAATAGGGGTCATCTATTGATCATGACCAATCACCATATCAAGTTTGAAGTCCCTAGGCCTAAGGGTTCTTTCGTTATTGATCAGAAACCATTTTTACCTACAAGGTCAATGTGACCTTGACCTTTGACCCCTTAACCCCAAAATCAATAGGGGTCATCTGCTGGTCATGACCAATCACCATACAAAGTTTGAAGTTCCTAGGCCTAAGGGTTCTTTAGTTATTGATCGGAAACCGTTTTTACCTACAAAGTCAATGTGACCTTGACCTTTGACCCCTTAACCCCAAAATCAATAGGGGTCATCTGCTGGTCATGACCAATCACCATACCAAGTTTGAAGTTCCTAGGCCTAAGGGTTCTTTCGTTATTGATCGGAAATCGTTTTTACCTATAAGGTCAATGTGACCTTGACCTTTGACCCCTTAACCCCAAAATCAATAGGGTCATCTGCTGGTCATTACCAATCACCATACCAAGTTTGAAGTTCCTAGGCCTAAGGGTTCTTTTGTTATTGATCAGAAACCGTTTTTACCCAAGAGGTCAATGTGACCTTGACCTTTGACCCCTTGACCCTAAAATCAATAGGGGTCATCTACTGATCATGACCAATCACCATACCAAGTTTGAAGTTCCTAGGCCTTAAAGTTCTTTAGTTATTGATCGGAAACCGTTATTGCTTACAAGGTCAATGTGACCTTGACCATTGACCCCTTGACCCCAAAATCAATAGGGATCATCTACTGATCATGACCAATCACCATATCAAGTTTGAAGTTCCTAGGCCTTAAGGTTCCTTAGTTATTGATCGGAAACCGTTTTTGCTTACAAGGTCAATGTGACCTTGACCTTTGACCCCTTGACCCCAAAATCAATAGGGGTCATCTACTGGTCATGAACAATCACCATACCAAGTTTGAAGTTCCTAGGCCTAAGGGTTCTTTAGTTATCACTCGGTAACCATTTGGTCTACGGACCGACGGACCGACAAGTGCAAAGCAATATACCCCCTTTTCTTCGAAATGGGGGCATAATAATAATGAATCCGGGTCAGCTCGGCCCTAAAACATACTTGGCCCCCGAGTCAGCTCGGCCCTATTCTAACTCGGCACGGGTCAACTCGGCCCACTTTTAAAAACGGGTAAAGGACATCAAAGGAATCCTATTGTCACGGGCTATTATCAATCAATGTGTATGTTAAAGATACCGATTAATTAGGTGATAATTATGATTGACTCATTCATTCAAATTTGATAAGTGACCACCTGCAATTAATTAGAAGCTTATGCTATTAAGAAAACACGTTTTTGTTTCATATTTTTTTGAAAATTACTTTACAAACAAAATGCATCTAAGGAAACACATTTTTATAATATCTATATTCACAGACACAAGTATCGGACCTGGGAAGAAAAAATATGAAGTTATTTTATCAATCTGTTCATATTTTTTCTTCCCAGGTTCGATAATCATGCCTGTGTCTATATTAATTTTATTGAATCTGCAAGACAAATAAATAACTTTTTTTTTCTAAATATACGTTATTTCAGCAGAGGTACAATGTAATAATAATAAGATATTTCTTATTATTCATTTACCTGAACAACATGCAAAGCAAAGTAAATACGTTATAGGCCTATATATTTTTGTAAAGTGGGCCGAGTTGACCCGTGCCGAGTTGGTATTGGGCCGAGTTCACTCTTTTCCAATAATAATGACCAAGCTATATTACATCTTACAATCTGACATCTAAAAAAATGCCCATTTGAAACATAAAGTATGATAAATGTTAAACTGGATATCTGACTTATTTTGCAATTTAATTAGTTAATGGATTAAGTCAAATACAGCAGCTTGATTTTTGAACCTTACGAAAGGTACAGGTAGATTTACTGTCATAGCTTACTGTCAGGAGCCAAGCCAGGGCAGGGCTCTACTTTTTCTTGGAAAATGTAGTTTAAAATACGCCTTGTACCAACCTGACATTTAACCTATAAAATCACTGATTTAAGTAACATGTTATTATTAAAGGATTATATAACTGGTGTTTACATATTCCGTGTTATCTCCCCTGATCTTTATTTAGTTGAAATCGAAATTTATTGAAACTGGATAACACATTGTAACTATAAAGGATGATAACGAGTATTAATTTCAGTACTTGAGCACTCAGTCATTTTTCCAATTGAGTACTCAGTTACCAGGACATTTAAAATGTAATTTGAACCATAATCCATCTAATGATCATCCATATTTCTGTCAAACCTATCACATGAATGAAGAATGTAACATATAATTATAAACTGTCAGCAACCTACTTTCTTTTTCTATTTTGATACACAGAATTGACTAGTACTAAAAATGCAAGAAAAGTTTCTTGAAAATAAAATAAATATTGTTGGTTCAATTGTTGATATGGTCTAATTAATTGCTTACATCTGACCTTATTGAAAGGTATTAGCTCAGCAAATTAAAGTAACACAGTGGTATTTAATGTCATAAGCAATCAAGAATGATATAAGTGATGATGTTGTTGTTTATTGCATACACCTGTCAAACTGCTGATTGCCTTGTTGAGACATAAACAACAGTCAATTTCCAATAAAATTATCGCACCTCTTAATAGATATTTTGATTAAATTTAAAATCATGTCTTTTATATCGGACATATATCTTAGAAATTGTAAATTGTTATATTTCAGAACAATAAAACCAAGTGATATTTTTTTCCTACAAAGTACGCAAATATCAAATTAATTTTAAACTATTAAAAGATACTCAGCCGTTGCTTGTTGCCATCCCTATAAATAAATAATAAAACCACTGCATTGCTTTAAATATTGGTTGGCCATCCTGAACTTAAAATAACTTTCTGAGACAACTTTACAATCAGGGTTCACGCCGTTCACTAAATATGGCAAATGTTTCCATGACACATTGTAGAACCCAGTCCAGATATTCGTGTGTCTGTACAGTATACACTTGCTGGGCGATCCACTCCATTTTCACATCAGATAAATTTTTCCGCACTTCATTCGGACATAGTTTCGTCTCTTCCAGACCGATCCTCAACGTTAAAAATGATCTACCCACTTTAGTGTTATTTAAAATATTCAACTCCTCTAATTTCAAGTTATGTATCCTGCCTTTTGTAACATCTACGTTCACATTGAGAACATTCATATTGTTTCTCTTACTGTAAAATGTACGTTCAATAGAAAATGGAGGAGTTTTACCAAATATCCATTCCCAAGATTTCAACTCTGCCAGATGCTTTTCCACACCATCGAAGAGATTCTCATCCAATGGATTAACTGATTGTATTCTTTTCGTCTACAATAAAATAATAAGACAATAATAAAACCTTATAATCAGCTCACATGATCAATATTATTTGAAAATCGTAACACAAATAACAAGAGGGCCATGATGGCCCTGAGGTCGCTCACCTGTATATAGCCCCCCCCCACCCTCGGGCCAATTGTTTCCCAAAGGGCTTTTATTTGTTTATTTGAACAGACTTGGTAGACACCCATAAGAAGATTTTTCATGCTAAACATATAAGTTCTAGCTCATTGGGTTTTTTAAAAGAAGATTTTTAAAGTTTTACTATACACATATAGTTAAAAACAATGACACCCCTGGTGCAGGGCCAGTTTTGACCCCTGGGCTTTTATTTGAACAAACTTTGTAGATATTTACTTAAAGATGTTTCATGCTTAATATCTAAACTCTAGCTATTTGGGTTTATTCAAAGAAGATTTTTAAGTTTTTGCTATACACAGGAAAATCAATGACCACCCCCCCCGAGCGGGGCCAGTTTTGACCCCAGGGCTTTTATTTTAACATACTTGGTAGACACCCATTAGAACATGTTTCATGCTAAATATCTTAGCTCTAGCTCTTTGAGTTCTTTAAAAGAAGATTTTTTAAGTTTTTACTATATGCATATAGGGAAAATCAATGACCCCCTGGGGCAGGGCCAATATTGACCCAAGGACTTTTATTTGAACAAACTTGGTAGACACTCATTACAAGATGTTTCATGCCAAATATCTAAGCTCTAGCTCTTTGGGTTCTTTAAAAGAAGATTTTTTAAGTTTTTACTATATGCATATAGGGAAAATCAATGACCCCCTGGGGCGGGGCCAATTTTGACCCCAGGGCTTTTATTTGAACAAACTTGGTAGACACTAACTAGAAGATGTTTCATGCCAAATATCTAAGCTCTAGCTCTTATGGTTGATTAAAAGAAGATATTTAAAGATTTTCTTTCGGTTGCCACGGCAACCAGGGTTCTGCATGGAATTAAATTCTTTGAAAAATTTTTAAAGATGACCACCAAAGGAACATTCCTGTGAAGTTTGGATGAAATTGGCTCAGTGGTTTATGAGGAGATGTCATTTAAAGCAAAAGTTTACAGATGGACAGACGGACGCCGGACGGACGCCGGACGAAAAGCGATCACAAAAGCTCACCCTGTCACTTTGTGACAGGTGAGCTAAAAATGGCAATAACTAATTTAATGACAGAACACAAAATGTAACCAAAGGGAAGTAACTCTTATATGTAAAATAAAATTATCTAACAATCAGTTCTCTTTCCAAGTTTAGTACTTTATTATATAATTGCCCTTAGTGGTTGAGTATAAGGCATTTAAAAAAATACTTAGTATTTTAAACCTAAATATATTCATTTTATTCACCCTATAGTACCTTATCCTCTAAAGAAAGTAATCAGTTAAAAAATTCTGTGGGTATCAAAATGTCACTTTGGGTGTACAAGACCTGCCTGGTATTAGTTTATTACCTGATTATTGTGTACAAAATGTTCACTGATAACATCAACCAGAGATGTATAGTCTACATCGGGGAAATGATCAGCCAGATTTGTTACTGACATCTTTAAACTGGCAGTAGCCTTACTGCTTATACCTTCCTGTAAAATACAAGATTCATAATTGACAATACATTACAATATAACAAAACAGATATATAGGAACCTAACAATGGATAAAGGAATGTAATTACAGATAGAGGAAAATAACCATAGATGTACAGTAATAGAACAACAATAGATATACTTTATAGGAATCTAACAAAAGATATAGAAATCTAACAGATATAGGAATCTAACAATTGATGTATAGGAATTCAACAATATTTAAAGTAATCTAACAGATATAGAAATCTAACAGTATATATATAGAAATCTAACAGATATAGTAATCTAACAATAGATATATAGGAATCTAACAATAGATAAAGTAATCTTACAGATATAGAAATCTAACAATTGTATTTAACAATAGATATAGTAATCTAACATATATAGGAATCTAACAGTAAATATAGAAATCTAACAGATATAGGAATCTAACAATAGATAACAGTAGACATAGGATTCCTAAACAAAAGATGTACAGGAATCTAAACTTATAAATCTAACATTAGTTATATGGTTCTTATAATAGATTTATAAATATAACATTAAGATATAGTTTGTTTCCTTCAAGTTTTACGTCACATCGACACACTGTATAGGTCATATCGCGACGTTCCAGCTTTACTGGTGGAGGAAGACCTCAGGTGCCCTTCTGTGCATTATTTCAGGCACAAACGAGCAACTGAGTTAAAGGACCACAGATGTTCCGTAAGCTAGCTGGATACATGAAAGTATCCAAAGTCTCTGCCGGGATTCAAACCCACAGTGGTGAGAGGCAAGTGATTTGAAGTCAACGACCTTAACCACTCGACCACGGACGCCTCATTTTTAAGGAATCTAACATAAGATAACTTATAAGAATCTAACATTAGATAGCTGTATAAGAAAATAACAAGATACATATTAATGTTACAAAAGGTAACTTCCCTGGCAAAATTTGAATTTATATGGACAAGAGGGCAACAACTGTATCAGTAATGTAGGTTCCACAAATTACAAATGTATTTAGGAAAGATCAATTTCACTCATTGTTTCCTTATCATACTAGTATCATATTTTAGAGTGTTAGCAACAATGACTTGTCTATATTACCAATATAAAGTCAAGCCAGTCAAGATGTCTGTACTTTCTCCCTAGACCATAAAGTTTTGAATGCATGACTCTATCACTTTCATACTGAATTGTCTGAACCATCAACATGCTTAATACCTTTAATGCTTTGTTTGTTTGTTTTTGGTTTTACATCACATCGACACAGTATAGGTCATATCGCGACGTTCCAGCTTTACTAGTGAAGGAAGACCTCAGGTGCCCTTCCGTGCATTATTTTAGGCACCAACGGGCACCTGAGTAGAACTACCGACGTTCCGTAAGCTAGTTAGATAGCTTCCTCACATGAAAGAATCCAAAGTCCCTGTCTGGATTCGAACCCACAGCAGTGAGGGGCAAGTGGTTTGAAGTCAACGACCTTAACCACTCGGCCAGAGACGACCTTTAATGGACTTTTCCATCTTTCAATGCGGACAAAACCATCATATTTAGGGAATATTTCAAAATATGTAAATGTACTGACTGAATAGTGAACAGTGCAGACCATGATCAGACAGCATGGATGTGCAAGCCAATCTTGGTCTGCACAGTGGTTGCATGGATAGATTCAATAGCAGTCAGGAGACTAAAGGTGTAACTATTTAGGAAACTTTGATATTTGATTCAATCTGGATCTGGACAAGTCTTATTATACAACTGAACCGCATCATGACAAAACCAACATAGTGCGTTTGCGACCAGCATGGATCCAGACCATCCTGCGCATCCGCGCAGTCTGATCAGGATCCATGCTGTTCACTATCAGTTTCTCTACTTGTTTTAGACTTTGTAAGTGAACAGCATGGATCCTGATCAGACTGCACGGATGTGCAGGCTGGTCTGGATCCATGCTGCTCGCGAACCCATTATGTTGGTTTTGACGTGTGACGCGGCTCAATTTATGCAGAGAAGGGTTAATGGTTAAACAACAAGAAATGGTCCTGATGAAGATACTGTCATACTTACCAAGTTAGAGTTCAGAATACTCTTTAATCTCTGTTTGTCAACATTGTATAACAATGTAAAATGATGATATGTCTTTTTACCACCTAATTTGGATGCTGTTCCTGAAATCTGAGAATAAATCATAACTTTAACCCTTTACCACATATATACGCGAAACAACGCACTTTCGACCCCCCCCATTTTTAGGCCTCAAATAGTGAAAAAATGTCCTATTTGGGCCCCAAATATAAGTTTTCGTTTGAGAAATGTTGCCAAAAAAATTGAGCACTTTTTTGGCGCCACCCCCCATCCAAAAGATACATCAGGGGGTTGCCAGATGGGGGATGTGCCCCCTTCTGTTAGGGGGGTTTGAAGGGGGGCGGAGTCCCCCTCATCGCCAAGAAAATTTTGGACTTGTGAGAGGCTAAAAATAACCCCAGGTCGATCATAATGTAACGTGTAACCAACGCTGAAAAGCCTTTGACTCTATCTTAATCCCTTGAGAAGTTGCAGCACTTTGAAATAAATTTTGATGGAAAAAATCGAGGCAAAATAGTGATTTTTGGCAATTTTGAGATGTCCCCTCGTTGCCATGGTAACAGAAAATTTAAGACTGAGCATGTCGTTACAAAGGCAATGGTCCAGTCAACATTTGTGCCAAGTTTGATTAGTATTGAAGCATTTTTCATAGTTTCATAGGAGTTTGAACTTGTAACAGGAGGCTTTTCAGTGAAAACGGCCATTTTTCTTAATATGCTCATGGGGGAAAGGGTTAACAACACCATGGTTAGAATAACCCACAATTATTTCAATAGAAAAAGCTAAAACTGGTAAAAACATACATATATAATCAAGAATGATGTTGCTACTATCTACAGTTTAAAATATCTAGTTAAATGATGAAATAATTCATATTAAACCTTACCATGCTTAACACGGTATCTTAAATGGACTTGTCTCTCTTTTAATCTAGACTAAACCATTCATCATTTTTAGGATTTTTTTTTTCAAAATATAACTGTCACTGAATATTAAACAGTGCAGACCATAAGATTATACAAATATACCGGCTGACTTAAACTTCACTGGTTGCATAGAGTGGAATCTGTTGCCAAAAGCAGGCCAGGAGTTTTAAAGTGTTATTTAAAAAAAAATATCCCAAACAGTGATTTTACTGCTAAATAGAATCATTGTTATGAACTAGAATGCAAGGAATTACATCAAGAGGGATATGTCATTACGGTTCTAACACAACATCAACAAATAAATGCTGCTGCACCTGACATCAAGCTAAATTGCACATAATTTGTTTCCGTACTTATTTTCAGCTTCTTGCATTTTTAATGGTTACGTCACATGTCTAAATATAGATCGTCGACAGTGATGACACTTTTGGTCCTTATATTTTCAATAGGGCAAAATGCAAATTGTGTAAGAATAATTTGTAACTAGTACATCTTGTATTTGACAATTATAGATTTTCTTGCACAGATTACACTTCTCGAGTTCTGTTTGCATATGTCATGCTTTCCTCAGGTATACTCAAAAAGAAAACTAGCTAAAACGTAAATTAAATTTACAAATATCCTTATCATACCTTATAATTATCTTGAAACATGAGATCATCTCTGTTATTAATGGCAATAGGAATATTCCATTGTGATTTTATAGCATCGACAACAAGTTGTAGATTTCTACGTCTGTTATATAGAGAGCTCTCCATTAAGAATGAACAGTTTAGATTCCCCTCATCATGATACACTGTCCCTCCTGTAACATATAATAAATATAACTGTTAATATTCTGTTATTTATATAATAGAATAAATATATATCTTAACTCCTTTGTTATTTTAAAATATATTTTTCCTAATATTTATCACTTTTTAAAGATGTAACAATTTAGGTCATGTATGTGTAACATTATGTGCCTGCCTAAAACAAGCATATACTTATCTATTAACCAAGCAAAAACATACAGGTTAAAATTGACAATCATTTTTGTAAGGGTTGCAATAAATTTTATTCCTCAAAATTTGAAAATGATCTTTGTGAAGTCTATCAAAACATAAATAAATTTTGTTTGTACTACAATACACTGGACCAAAACTACATTTTGTCTCAAAAGTGTAAACTATAAGACTAAATGCTAGATGAACGTTACTTACCACCACTTTTACGCCTCACAAGATCGACCTCATGTTTCTCACAGTATGGCACGTTACACTCCACCCATGGATTCTGATGTCTTCCAAAAACAACACACGGCTTATTCCTCCACAACAACAACACTGACTCGTTCTGAAAATCTGTGTTCTCAAACAACCAGTCTTCTAATGCAAGATTCTCGTAGATATTCGTCGATGAAGATATGATAACTCTGTGACTTCTGTGAGCTTTTGAAGAACACAGTCTGTACATCATGTTACCCAGTCTATATTTAGGCATCAATATCTGCCAGCTTCTCCTCAGCATCCCCATTCTTGTTAATCTCTCTTTAATATCACCTTGCTCAATATAATGTTCACTATGCAATGTTTATGAACATTATAATACTTTAAACATGTCAAACTTGATAATCAATTGATCCTGTGAAGAGCATTATAATTTTTAAGGTCTTAAATGACTCATTCTCTGTCGAACCTGAAAAATAAAACATAAACTTTTATGAAATCCAATGATACAATATTCTGGTCCTGTGTACCATAAATACTAGAAAGGAATTCAATCAAAATCAATAAAGCAAATGTACAGGACAGCTAGGATATACATGAAGTTTTATAACATTTCTTACCCATGTACATTGTATATATAACATGCATATTTTTGTGACTTTTTGCTTTTTGTTTGTTTCCAAACAATTTTAGTCATATCTCAGCAGATGGTCCACAACCCAGCTTTCTTGGATAACTAACTAGTAATTACCAATTTTTCTGTATGTGACTGCATACTTTTCATTCACTTATCTGAATCATCTGGATTAAGACAAATCGCCATTAGACTCAAAATCCAGATTAAGACAAATGGCAATTCAACTCATTGTCCGGATTAAGACAAATGAGCATTAGACTCACTGTCTCGATTAAGACAAATGGCCATTAGACCCATAATAAAAGAAATGATTGTCTAGATTAAGACAAATGGCCATTAGACTCACTGTCTGGATTAAGACAAACTGCCATTAGACTAACTGTCCAGATTAAGACAAATGGCCATTAGATTAACTTTCAGGATTAAGACAAATGGCCATAAGACTCATTGTCTGGATTAAGACAAACAGCCATGAGACTAAATGTTCAGATTTAGACAAATGGCCATTAGACTCAATGTCTTGTTTAAGACAAATGGCCATTAGTTTTACTGTTCGGATTAAGAACAAATGGTCATTAGTCTCACTGTCTTGATTAAGACAAATGCCCATTAGACTCACTATCTGAATTAAGACAAATGGCCATTAGACTTATTGTCTGGATTAAGACAAATGGTTATCAGACTCAATGTCCGAATTTAGACAAATGGCCATTAGATTAAGACAAACAGCCATTAGACTCAATGCCAGGTATCAAAATGAATATCAAGGAGAAATTTTGCATCACCCCCAAGGGTCAAACCGGCTGTCCCTGGATTATAAATCTGACACTCACCCTACTGATCTTACAGGCAGACTAACTGTGACTTATTACTGCCACAAAAACTGAGCAAGCACAAAAAAGAATCTTTAAGAATGTACAGATATTTCTGGCTATACTGATTGCATGTGTACCAACCTAACAGCGACCCTGCTTGGTTTTTTAATTTCTATTAAATGAAGGTTTTGTTAAAGGGACACATACTTAAACTCTGTAAAATCTTAATACCTGGATTCATATTCATGATTTATACCTGGCTTTAAAATTACCAATTCATTGCATTTTAAATCAAATGGAATGAACTTCTATACAAAATATAGGGTAAAATTAATTTTAAACATGCTAATGCAGAAAGACTTCCTTCTCATTCAGTGCAAATATTAACAAATACATTTATGTACCTACTTTTCAAGGTACATGATAAGGTAATAAAATCCTTAAATCATGTGTGCTTGATATTTGAGACAGCCTAACATTTTCATGTAATTTTTTGTGTTTAATTTTTAAACTATATGAATAGATTTTTGTATTTATTCATAACATCAAATCTTTCTGGAGATCTTATTCAAAAATATTAGAATTGGATTTTAGAGGATTTTGAAATTAGTTGTTGTTTTATTCATTCAACAATTTCTTTGTTTTACAAAGTTACTATAATCATATAGGATCTAACATGAGTTGCCATACAATAAATATCATTGCACAGGTTCAATAAATTGTTATAAATCAAGCATCTGGCAAATGTTACAATAAAACTTTATATTAAATGATAACTTATGTAAGACTCTTTTTGTTTATGCATGATTTTGTACATCGCATGAGATAAACAGGTAAAGAATGAATCGTAACATGTATGTTACACAATCTGTCACAGTCAAATGATTTGAAACAAACATATCACAAGCAACGTATCAGTTTAAAATTATATATATTATATAACGCATTTAACTAACGTACATAAAGTGAAATTTTCATTTACCTTTTGATCACATATACACATTAATAATGTCAATTATCCACAGTGTTATAATTCTCAATCTTAAAGCATGTTAGCATATCAGTTAAACGGGTGTAATTATATTTTTACTTCTGTCACCTTTTTTTCTCTTTATTCCTATAATTAATCAAACATGCTTTGTCCAGATCTGCATATATGAAGAGCTTTTATGAACACAGAAGACAACAAAATATCAATAAATAACACAATTTATTTATTCACATTTTGATACGCATGTTGCACTTGAATGGCGAGTTTAAAAATTCGATATAACTAAATATGCAAGTATAATTATTTGTACTTCTACGAGCACCTGACAATTTTTTTTTGTTCATGAAAAAATTATTCATCATGCATGTATCTAAATTTAAATTCTAAAGGAGCACATCTTCAGATTTCATGTTAGTTTTCGTGATTTTGTTTTTAAAGTTTTCAAACTAAACAAATAAAAAAGTAATTTGAGCTGACATAACACACTTTAACAATCACCATAAATCATCTAAAAACATGACAAAATTTGCTAAAAATAGCCCTTGCTGGCTGTCAAGTCATCCCACTGAAAGAATCCTGGGGCAAACAGTTCTAAAGGCATAACACTGAAATTACAAAAAGTACAGTCACCAAGAGGGCCATGATGGCCCTGAGGTCGCTCACCTGTATAAAGGCACCCGGAGCAGGGCCAGTTTAAACCCCAGGGCTTTTATTTGAACAAACTTGGTAGACACCCATTAGAACATGTTTCATGCTAAATATTTTAGCTCTAGCTCTTTGATTCTTTAAAAGAAGATTTTTTAAGTTTTTACTATATGCATATAGGGAAAATCAATGACCCCCTGGGGCAGGGCCAATTTTGACCCTAGGGCTTTTATTTGAACAAACTTGGAAGACACTCATTAGAAGATGTTTCATGCTAAATATCTTAGTTCTAGCTCTTTGGGTTCTTTAAAATAAGATTTTTTAAGTTTTTACTATATGCATATAGGGAAAATCAATGACCCCCTGGGGCGGGGCCAATTTTGACCCTAGGGCTTTGATTTGAACAAACTTGGTAGACACTCATTAGAAGATGTTTCATGCTAAATATCTTAGCTCCAGCTATTTGGGTTCTTTAAAAGAAGATTTTTTAAGTTTTTACTATATGCATATAGGGAAAATCAAAGACCCCCTGGGGCGGGGCCAATTTTGACCCCAGAGCTTTTATTTGAACAAACTTGGTAGACACTCACTAAGAGATATTTCATGTTTAATATCTTAACTCTAGCTATCTGGGTTTTTTCAAAGAGAATTTTTAAGTTTTTTCTATACACTGTCATATAAGGAAAATCAATAACCCCCAGGCCGGGCCAATATTGACCCCAGGGCTTTTATTTGAACAAACTATGTAGACACTCACTAGAAGATGTTTCATGCTTAATATCTAAACTCCAGCTATTCGAGTTTTTTTCAAAGAAGAGTTTTAAGTTGTTTTTTTTTCAAAGAAGAGTTTTAAGTTTTTGCTATACACATAATTTATAAGGAAAATCAATTACCCCCGAGGCAGGGCCAATTTTGACACCAGGGCTTTTATTTGAACAAACTTGGTAGACACCCATTGGAACATGTTTTATGCTAAATATCTAAGCTGTTGCTCTGTTAGTTCTTTAAAAGAAGATATTTTTATGTTTTTACTGAATGCATATAGGGAAAATCAATGACCCCCTGGGGCAGGGCCAATTTTGACCCCATGGCTTTTATTTGTTCAAACTTTGTAGACACTTACTAGAAGACGCTTCATGCTTAATATTTAAACTCTAGCAATTTGCTTTTTTTTCAAAAAAGAATTTTTACGTTTTTGCTATACACATATATATTAAGGAAAACCAATGACCCCCAGGTGGGGCCAATTTTGACCCCAGGGCTTTTATTTGAACAAACTTGGTAGACACTCATTATAACATGTTTCATGCTAAATATCTTAGCTCTAGCTCTTTGAGTTCCTTAAAAGAAGATTTTTTAAGTTTTAACTATATGCATATAGGGAAAATCAATGACCCCCTGGGGTGGGGCCAATTTCGACCCCCAGGGCTTTTATTTGAACAAACTTGGAAGACACTCACTAGAAGAAGTTTCATGCTTAATATCTAAACATTAGCTATTTGGGTTTTTTCAAAGAAGATTTTTTAAGTTTTTGCTATACAGCCATATAAGGAAAATCAATGACTCCCTGGGGCAAGGCCAATTTTGACCCTAGGGCTTTTATTTGAATAAACTTTGTAGACAATCACTAGAAGATGTTTCATGCTTAATATCTAAACTCCAGCTATTTGGTTTTATTCAAAGAAGATTTTTTAACTTTTTGCTTTACACATACAAGGAAAATCAATGACCCCCTGGGGCGGGGCCAATTTTGACCCTAGGGCTTTTATTTGAACAAACATAGTAGCCACTCATTAGAACATGTTTCATGCTTAATATCTTAGCTCTAGCTCTTTGGGTTCTTTAAAAGAAGATTTTTTTTTTTTTTCTGTATGCATAAAGGGAAAAGCAAAGACCCTCTGGTGCAGGGCCAATTTTGACCCCAGGGCTTTTATTTGAACAAACTTGGTAGACACTCACTAGAAGATGTTTCATGCTTAATATCTAAACTCCAGCTATTTGGGTTTTTTCAAAGAAGATTTTTAAAGTTTTTACTATATGCATATAGGGAAAATCAAAGACCCCCTGGGGTGGAGCCAATTTTAACGCTAGGGCTTTTATTTGAACAAACTTGGTAGACACTCATTAGAAGATGTTGTATGCTAAAAATCTTAGCTCTTGCTCTTTGGGTTCTTTAAAAGAAGATTTTTTAAGTTTTCACTATATGCATATAGGGAAAATCAAAGACCCCCTGAGACGGGGCCAATTTTGACCCTAGGGCTTTTATTTGAACAAACTTGGTAGACACTCATTAGAATATGTTTCATGCTAAATATCTTAGCTCTAGCTCTTTGGGTTCTTTAAAACAAGATTTTTTAATTTTTTTTTCTATATGCATATAGGGAAAAGCAAAGACCCTCTGGTGCGGGGCCAATTTTGACCCCAGGGCTTTTATTTGAACAAACTATGTAGACACTCACTAGAAGATGTTTCATGCTTAATATCTAAACTCCAGCTATTTGGGGTTTTTTCAAAGAAGATTTTTTAAGTTTTTCCTATACACATTTAAGGAAAATCAATGACCCCAGGGGTGGGGCCGATTTTGACCCCAGGACTTTTATTTGAATAAACTTGGTAGACACCCATTAGAACATGTTTCATGCAAAATATCTTAGCTCTAGCTCTTTGAGTTCTTTAAAAGAAGATTTTTTAAGTTTTTACTATATGCATATTGGGAAAACAATGACCCCTTGGAGCTGGGCCAATTTTTACCTAGGGCTTTTATTTGAACAAACTTGGTAGACACTCATTAAAAGATGTTTCATGCCAAATATCTTAGCTCTAGCTCTTAGGGTTTTTTTAAAAAAAGATTTTTTTAGTTTTTCCTATTGGTTGCCACGGCAACCAAAGTTTTTAATGGAATTCAAATTTTTGAACACCTTGAAAAGGGGTCCACCTAAGGATCATTTCTGTAAAGTTTGGTTGCAATTGGCCATGTGGTTTAGGAGGAGATGTTGTTTGAAAAGTTTGACGCCATTTTTTGAAGGACGCATGATGAACCCAGAGTGATGACAAAAGCTCACCCTTGAGCACTTCGTGCTCAGGTGAGCTAACTAGAACTGCCACAATCATGGTGTGAATACCCCCGCATACCATTTAGAGCTCAAGGACAACCTCCCTGCCAAATCTGAGGCTACTTATAATTAGCAAGTGCATTGCTAAGTTATGTATTCTACATGCTTCAAATGTGAAAATGTCAAAATCAATACATTGAGGACAGGACATTTTTTAGCAATTGAGAAGAAAAGCTTTTTTTTGTCAAGGTGCCTGTGACCTTTACCTTTGACCCAGTGACCTCAAAATCAATAGGGGTCACCTTATAGTCATGGTCAACATCCATTCCAAATATGAAGACTGTGGGTCAAAGGAATCTTAAGTTAATGGGTGGACAAACTTTTTGAAGTCAAAGTCCCTATGACCTTGACCTTTGATCCAGTGACCTCAAAATCAAAAGGGGTCATCTACTAATCATGATCAACATCCATGCAAAATATGTTGACTGTGGGTCAAAGGAATCTTAAGTTATTGGACGGACAAGCTTTTGGAAGTCAAGGCCCCTATGACCTTGACCTTTGACCTGGTAACCTCAAAGTCAATAGGGGTCATCTACTAGACATGATTAACCTCCAAGCCAAATATGAAGACTGTGGGTCAAAGGAATCTAAAGTTATTGGGCGGACAAGCTTTTTGAAGTCAAGGCCCTTATGACCTTGACCTTTGACCTGGTGACCTCAAAGTCAATAGGGGTCATCTACTTATCATGACTAGCCTTCATGCCAAATATGAAGACTGTGGGTCAAAAGAATCTTAAGTTATTGGGCGGACAAGCTTTTTGAAGTCAAGGCCCCTGTGACCTTGACCTTTGATCTGGTGACCTCAAAATCAATAGGGGTCATCTACTAACCATGACTAACCTCCATGCCAAATATGACCACTGAAGGTCAAAGGAATCTTAAGTTATTGGGAGGACAAGAAAAAAACGAGGGACAGCCGGACGGCCGGACGGACAAGCTGATTCCAGTATACCCCCCTTACAACTTTGTTGTGCGGGGGTATAAAAATGGTAAGACAAATTGGGCTACACTAAGTACAGTAAGTCTACTTGTATTTTTTACCTTAATGAAACTAACCTTCCTATGTAGTCTATACATGTATGTGGTATATATATCTCAGACAACAATGTACATGTACACCTGTCCTCTGTATACTTAGCAATTTTATCAATCAACAATGTACCTGTACACCTGTCCTCTGTATACTTAGCAATTTTATCAATCAACAATGTACCTGTACACCTGTCCTCTGTATACTCAGTAATTTTATCAATCAACAATGTACCTGTACACCTGTCCTCTGTATACTTAGCAATTTTATCAATCAACAATGTACCTGTACACCTGTCCTCTGTATACTTAGCAATTTTATCGATCAACAATGTACCTGTACACCTGTCCTCTGTATACTTAGCAATTTTATCAATCAACAATGTACCTGTACACCTGTCCTCTGTATACTTAGCAATTTTATCGATCAACAATGTACCTGTACACCTATCCCCTGTAAACTCAGTAA